ACTCTTTACATGATTTCACTCATTTAATCATCACAACCACCCTATGAAGTAGGTATTGTTATCTTCATTTTACAAATAAGGCAACTAAAGTTCAGAGAAAGTGAGTAACTTGTCCTATGTCACATGACTAGTAAATGATAGATCTGGGATTTGAACCCAGGCAGTCTGGGTCTGTTAGGCCCTAACTACTACCTAGGGACTCCCGGGAGCTTACTTTTCTAATGTGCTCTCCTGTTTTGAACATCTAAAGGATGTACCATCAGTGGACTCTCGTGTGTTAAGAAGATGCCCTGAAAAAGGTTCCTGCTCTGGAGATAAAATGAAACTTGAAGCCAGGCTGAATCAGACCACAGCCCTGACATGAACACCAAATGACGATTGTTGTATTGGAGCATCGATGAAAACATTAAAACCCATGGCTGCTGACTAGCCCTGTATGCTCTAGCTACAGAACCTTCTACAGAAAGAATATGCTGGATACTTATTAGATACAGTGCCTCTTTTATAAAAATCTTTCTAGGTCATCCCCCATTTTACAGATGGGGAAACTGATGTCTCAAGGTAGTATCTTGCTCCTAAGAGGCAAAGCCAGGACTTGATCCCAAGTCTTAAAATCCAAATTATAGTATTTTTTCTACCAAAGGTGGAAATGTATTAAGGGGCAGATTTTGCCTTTGTATAATAGAATTTTTTTTTAATAATTTATTTTTGCTGTTGAGATTATACACAGCAGAGCATACACCAATAACTTCTACATGTACAATTCAGTGACACTGATTACATTCAAGTTGTGCAACAATTCTTACCCTTCTTTTCTGAGTTGTTCCTCCTACACTAACATAAACTCATGGCCCTTTAAGTTTCCTATGTAATCTTTTGAGTTGCTGTTGTCAATCTGATCTCATATAAATAGATCTTGAAAGAGTACAATGCTCAAGGCAGATGTTTTATGTAAGAATAAATTTTTTAAAACTGTAAGAATTGAATGAGCTGCATTAGGAGATACAGAATTCTCCATGCTGGATGTGTTTCAGCAGAGATTGAACAAGCTCCTGATAAGTATACGGCTAAGGAATTCAAGCATCATGTGAGAAGGGGGTTAGACTCAACCTTTTAAGTTCTTTCTACCCTGACATGCTCAGGTTCTGTGAAATATGCGAATCTTGATTTTTCTGCATCTAGTTCCACATTTTTTTTCACTGAAATGCAAAAATCACCTTATATTAAATAGGCCTGGAAGAGAGCATAAAGATCATTCCAGTGTGGCACCTTCATTTTACAAGTGAATGCACAAACTCAGACTGAATTAGTGGCAAAGCCAGGCCTCCTGATTCTTAATCCAGGGTTTTCAATATAGGGTCTATTTTTGGGTCTTTGTAAGTGGTCTACCATGCACTCAGTAGTCAAAGCCAGAAACCTATGTGTCACATTAGACTCCTTCCTCATCCCTCATAAAATCAGTCATCAAGTCCTTTAGCTTCTATTTCCTTAAGCATTTCTTGACTGGGTCCTCTTATTATATTCACTGCTTCTATCCTGAGCCAGGCCACCATCATCTCAAAGTACATCATTGGCCTCCTAATTGATCTCCTTGCCTCAACTCCTGCTCCCTCCAGTCCATTTTTCACACAGCTGTCAAAGTAATCTTTCTAAAACCCATAAATCTGATCATGCCACTCCCCTGCTTAGACTTAGTTAAGTAGATCACTAGTGGCCCCAGGATAAAGTCTAAACTATCCTTGAAGGCTCCTCATGACTCTACAAATCTCTCTGGCCTCATACTCCCTGTCCCAAATATGCCGTTCTCCAGCTATATAGAATTACCTATAGTTCCTCAACTCACCATGCTCTCTTACCTCTAGCCTTTGGACCTGCTGAGCCCTGGAAAAACTCTGCAGATTGTCTCCTATGCTTCCTTTCCTCTCATTCTCAGTACTCGGCCTCATTCTAGAACCTATCGATGACTCCCATGGGCTTGGTGCATTGCTTCTATGTTCCCATAGCCTCCTACACATTCTTCAAGCATGGAATTATCACTGCATTGCAGGTTCACAAATGCAAACCTCTAAAGAAGGCAAAGTAAAAGAGAGAAGTGGCCTAGAGGAAGACAACAGAGACTGAAGAACCAGAGAGCACATTCACTGTCAGAAGAAGGCGAGTACTTATTTGGCTCCACTCAAATAAGCTAAGTGTGGGCATGGTGGTATCAGATCTTCCAATTCTTCCAGGAAAGCCAGAAATCTTCATTTTCATGTAAAAAAAAATACTCAATTTTTAAGTCTTGGAAACTAAAGCAAATAACATTATTCTAAGAAACAAAACATGTCTTCAGGTAGATTTGTGCCAGTTTGCAACTTCTCTTCTGTAAACGTGTGTTTACAGGTTTGTTTGATCCAACTAAGTTGTGAGTACCTGGAAAGTAAGAACTCTTGGCATGTACCAGTCAAGGAAAGTATGAGTGAGTACTGGAATCTAGAGTGAACTCAGCATCACCATGGTAAAAACCTGGTGCCTTTGAGTCGATTCCAACTCATAGCGACCCTGTAGGACAGAGTAGAACTGCCCCCATGGGGTTTCCTAGGCTGTAAATCTTTACGGAAGCAGACTGCCACATCTTTCTCCTGCAGAGCCGCTGATGGGTTCAAACTGCCAACCTTTCAGTTAGCAGCCGAGCACTTAGCCCTGGTGCCACCAGGGCTCCTTCCGCCATAGTAGTAGGCTTGTAAAAGCAAGCCCTGAGATTCAAGTTTCTGAAAAGACTTTATATTTGGCTTTGACATGACTGATCTCAGCAAACAGAATGATGGGGCAGAAAGGTACACACCTAGCACTGGGCAGACTTCTTGTCTTAGAAACCACTCAGGCTAGAAGAATTTAAGTGGGCAGATTGAATCAAATTTTTTTTATTCAATCTTCCTATAAATTCAAATTGAATGAAACGTTTAATAATTAAGACATGAGGCTAAATATAGTGGCATGGGGGAAAGCAGCTTCTCTCCAGGCTCTGAAAGTTTCCGGCACTGACCATAAGGACCAGGTTCAGAAGGAGGGGCTATTTGTTATCAGGTTCTATGCAAAATTTAATAACCTCACTGCCAGATACTTCTGTCTCTAAGAAGTTTGTATTAAGTTCTGTTAATGGGGAGACAACTCACTTAGGAACAGTGATTACACCCACACCTAATGCAACACCCACTGGAGCTGTCTCACTTTACATCTGACAGATACACACAAAAAGAAATTGATTGCATCAGCAGAGAAATAGTCTTGGTTTTACCAAATATTGCTCCTAACTATACAGGGGCCTGGCTTTCTGAGATCTAGAAAGATCCTGGCATGTGACAAATGGCTGGCTGCAGAAAAGGGCACGGAGCAGGACCTCCCCAGACTTCTATCCCAGGTATCAGGCCTGTGGGAATCTCACTCCCATGGGCCTCCTATGGAGCAAGGCAGTGTATGGTAGAAAGGGATCAAGATGGCATATGGGGTTCTGATCTGGCTCTGTCACTTACTTGTTGGGTGAACTTGGGGAAATTTTCCACTCTGATTACCTTAGCTCATCTTTTCTTGCCAGACCACATCTTAAGTTGCTGTCCAGTTTATGGATTGGCTCCTCTTAGGTCAGATGCCCAACTGGGCCAACCAGGTGGCAGGATTATGTGGAGCAAAATCAGCTTTCTGGGAATGCTGCTTCAACAGGGCAGGGGTGGAGCAATTTTATTATGACCATGATAAATATCGTATCTAATAAACATCTAGTTAAAGAGTTGTCAAGTAAACGTTTGTTTGGTGAATAATGAACATCTCATTCTTTAAGACTCAGCTTAAGTGTCATCTCCTAAATGTCATCTCCTTACTGAAGTCTTCTCTAATTTTCCTTCCATCTTAGTAGGATAAATTAGTCCTTTGTGTCACAACTGAACCTTGTAACTATTATACTATTAATGCATTATATCATTACTGTTTACTTTCCTGTCTCTCCCATATAAGTCCTTGAAGGCAGGAACTATAACTTACTTATTCATCCAGGTACCCTCAGGGCCCAGAAATAACTGGTCATAAGACCATTAGTAACAGAATCTCAGTAAATGGGCATGAAAGAGAACTACCAAGTAAATGAGTGAGAGAGAGTAGATAGTTCCTTTGGGCTCTAACATTCTGTGCATCTATAAAATACTAAGCTGCTGTATTAAGGACCATAAAATGAAACTAGCTGGCTTTACACAGCAGCCCCATTAACAGAAAAATAATGACAACAATGACTTCAATTTATTGAGTCCTTACTACATGCCACGCAGTGTGCTAAGACTTTATGTGAACTACCTCATTTAATACCTACAATGACCCAGATATTATCCCTATCTGACAGGTGAGAAAAGTGAAACTCTGAGAGATTAAATAAATGCCCAACCAGTGAGTGGCAGAGAGCCACAGTTCTAGGTGAAGGCTATTTGACACCAAAGCCCATATTCAAAACTCTTTAAAGAAGAAAAAAGAAAAAGAAGGTGATGCTGATAAATTAATATAGTTCTATCAGTCTATTCTAAGGCTTCACAAAGGCCACCTGGGTACTTAATAGAACACAGACTATCAGAGCCAGAAGGATCCTTCAAAGGGCATCTAGTCCAATTCCAGCATTTTATAGTGATGAGATCAGAGGCTCCTTCTTTTGTTATCTGACAGTTGCTCCCTCACTTCATTCGGGGCTCTGCTCATATGCCATCTACATGAAGACCTTCCCTGGCCACGTATCTGAAATAGCCCTCCATCACTCTTTGTTTTCTTATCCTCCTCTTATTTTTTTTTCATACAAGTTTCTTTGTATATTATGTACTATTTATTTGTTTTCTTGTTTATTTCCCCCACTAGAATATAAGCTTCATGAGGGCAAAACTTTGATTGCTGTTTCTCTGTAGCACAGCAGTGCCCAGCATATAAGGAATGCAATAAATATATTAGTTGAATTGATAGTTAAACATTCCAAAGCTTCGACTGCAATGTGATTTTAATGTACTAAAACTTTTCTTCAGTCTTCAAGGCAGAAAGCTTTCTTTATTTTTGCCTTTAGTTTCTCATACTTCCAGCCCAACATTTACATCATTAAACTTGGGTAAACATCTGACTCCTCTCCTGATTACCAGCCACCCCCCTCCCCGCCCCCGGAGCGGAACTTGCCCTAGTCATCTGTGTATCCCAAGAGTTTAGCACAGGACCTGGCATAAGTAGGTGTTCAAAAATGCTTGTGGGAGGCTGGTGTGGAGAGTGATAAGAGTGATAGTCGCAGGCATCATTGCTTAGTGGTTTATTCTCCTCTTAAAGCTCCATCAGCAGGTGGAATGGAAAACACCTCCCACTCTGACTCCTTGGGCAACCAAGGCATTATACTCCTTCACTGCCTGCTGTGTCTGGAGGACTCGCACATCAATGCCTTGTTTCTCGAGGTACTCCACAGTTGATGGAGGCACCTGGGAAAGAGCAGAAGAGATGAGTAAGTCAGAGGGAAGGGCCCCCCAGGCTTTCCTTTCCTGCCATGAAGCAAGTGTACTAGAAAATTGGACAGTGACAACTGTCACTCCTCAATCACCCAGCATGTCACCAGTCTAAAATTTGGCAGAGAGTCTGAGGAGTTAAGAAGCTCTCTGAGAAGCTGACAAAAGTATTATAATATCCACATATAAATCTCAAGTGAAATGGAAATGGAAAAGGCATGAATGTTGGAGTCAGACAGCCTTGGATTTAAGTCCTGACTAGTAGTCTGACTTTGGGTAAGAGAATTAAATTCTGAGCCTTTGCTTCCATGTCTGTAAATTAGGGATAATAATATCTAGCTTGCATGGTTGGTATGAGAACTAGTAAGCTAAGGTTTGTAAAATGTCTAGCATGGTGTAGATCATAAAGTAAGTAAACGTTAAACGTTGGGGTCAGGCCAACCTGAGTCCAAATTCTAACTTTGCCATGTACCAACCTAGAGACCTTAGGCCAGTTATTTAAAGTCTCTGAGCCCCAAATTCTTCACCTGTAAAATGTGGCTAATAATACATCACAGAGTTGATGTGAGGATGAAATTAACTCGTGTATGTATACTGTAGCACATGTCTCCTCAGAAATGCCTTTCTTGACCACCAATTGAAAGCAGCCTGTAATAAGTCACCATTTAATTTCCTTCACAGCATTTATCACCATCTGAAATTATTGTCTACCTTTTTATTATCCATGAGGGGCATGAGCCTTGTTTGTCTTGCTTATCTCGATGTCCACAGTGCCTAGAATAGTGTCTGACCTATAGAAGGTGCTTAATAAATATTCTGCAAATGAATTACTATGAAAGGTCATCAATAAGGGACAGCTATTATTGGATGCTATCTTCTCAACTCTGGCTTGCCCTGAATATTTTTTTCTAAGTAGTTTTTAATTAGACTCTGATTCCTCAGAAAGAACTCTGAGTGAAACATAAAAAAAAGTCCTGTATTATTTTTCTATATGCTTGAAAGATTTTATAACAACAAAAGCCTTACAGATAGAACTTACTTTAATGGGAAAAATAACTAGCTTAAACTAAAAAACATAAATAAAGGGTACATCAGTAGGGAACTGGATTTTAGGATATGTATACAACAGAAAGAATAAGGCAGATCTCTATGTACTTATGTGGAAGGCTGTCCACAATATAATAATGTAAGTGAAAAAAAAGTTACAGAATAATACATAGAGTGTAATAGTATTTATGTAAACTGGTTATAAGTGTATACATGTATATCTGTATGTGCAAGTGTACATATATTTGCAGATGCATACAAGGAGAACTGAAGCAGAGCAGTATACACAAAATGTGGAGATTGGGACGGGGAAATCTTTTACCTTTTTACTTCTACATTTCTGCACTGTTTGAATATTTTACAAGGAGCATGTTTTACTTTTGTAATTTAAAAAATTGACTGTATCTAAGAAAAGAAAAAGTACTCAAAACATGTAAAGAACCAAATATTGATAATTATAGGGTTTGAGAAATAAGCCCTCCAGGATGAGGTATTCCTGAGAACTAGCTGAAACAACACAGTCCCAGGATTAGGCAGAAAGAGGAGAGTCTTAACTCTCATGATGAACAGTAGTGTGTGCAGCCATTATTCTATCCTGGGTCATCCACGGGCTTAGCAAACTGAGTGTGAAGGATATATAGAGGTGGACTTCTAAGAAGGACATACCTGTAAGGTAAAGGTCCAAGAGATCACACCAACTGTCATCAGAACCCTGTACATACCGATACCTACCTTCAAGGCCTCACTCATGCCTCGGCCGATCACAAGAGTCTGCACACCCTTCTTGACGACTTCCTCCACATCTGCAGGCTGCACACCAGGAGAATGCTGGATGTGGAAAGAGAAAGCATACCAGGTACCTGCTCTTTTAATCTTTCTTTGTAATAGGCATTCTTGTGGGATTCACTCATTCATTCAAGAAATATTTACTGAAGTTTATTCTGTGCCAACCATTGTTCTGGGCTCTAGAAATAACAGAGAAGATACAGTGCTGCCCTTAGGGAGCTCCAAGTCTAGTGAAAAATGTAGAGAACTAAAAAGGAAATGTAATAGTTTTACAGGTGCTACAAGAAAAGTTCAGCGTATCATGAGAGCATAGATAAAGGGCATCTAATTCAGACCTGGTTGAGGGGTTGATGGGAAGGCATCCTAGAGGAGGTGGCACTTAAGCTGAGATCTAAAGGACAAACAGGAATCAACCAGGTTAAAGGAAATCAAGTGAAAAAGGCCTCCCAAGTAGAGGGAATAGCATGTACAAAGTCTCAGAGGAAAGAAAGAACCTAGTGAACTGCAGGTAATTCGGTTTGACCAGAGTGTGGAGTGACAGGTAAAGGAGTAGAAAGAGGTGAGGCAGGAGAAGAAAGGTACTTGCATGCCATGCTAAAATTAGGATTTTGGAAAAATTTCATAAGAAATCCAAAGTTTCCTTTTTTCTGAGCCCCTTTCTGACTTAAGTCTGGGAAAACTATGCTTCAAAACCTACTGTCTTGGTTATCTAATGCTGCTATAACAGAAATACCACAACTGAGTGGCTTTAACAAACAGAAATTTTCTCACAGTTTAGGAGGCTAGAAGTCTGAATTCAGGACGCTGGGTCTGGGGAAAGGTTTTCTCTCCCTGGTGGCTCTGGGGGAAGATGCTTGTCTCTTTTCAGCTTCTGTTTCCTGGTTTCTTGGAGATCTCATGTGACATGGCATCTATCTTCTCCCAACTCTGCTTGCTTGCTTGGTTGCTTGCTCAATCTGCTCTTTTTATATCTCAAAAAAGATTGATTTCAGACACATTCTACACTAATACTGCCTGATTAACATAGCAAAGAAAACTCAGTGCCGAGTGGATTATAACCCTAAGTATGTTGTTGTTGTTAGGTGTTGTCCAGTCAGTTCCGATTCACAGAGACCTCAAGTACAACAGAATGAAACACTGCCCGGTCCTGCAGTACTATACCATAAGTATAGGAGTTAGGATTTACAACACATATTTTGGGGGGACACAATTCAATCCATAAAACCTACCTATCTCTGTAAAGCCTTCCCAGATTCTCCCAGGCATAATTTAAGGTGAGGTGCTTAAAGAAGATTAACCTATCATTAAAGGATGGTGGCTTCTGAACTGCCTCCACTTTAGCAAAGGGGATATAAGAGTTCAGAGTTCGATAAATACCAGCCCAACATACTGGCTTCACCCGTTACGCAACTGCACAAGGATGAGGCTCTCGGCACTGACACAGAGAAACAAAGCGTTCCTTCCCTATTCTTTCATTCATTCAACAAGCATTTACTGAGCACTTACTCTGAGTCAGGTCCTATACTAAGCACTAGGAACGCTGGGATGAACCAACTATTGCTTGGAGGAGTTTGAGGCAGGTGAGGTTAGCGAACAGGTACAAATAGTTACAATAGAAAGAGATAAAACAGAGTTGAGGATCTCAGAAGTGGGAGTGAGAAAATATGAGTGGGAAATTGTCAGGGAAGACATATGTTTTAACTGGGTCTTAAAGTATGAGTGGGAGTATGCCGTGATACAATGGCTATAGCCATGACACATTCTAATCGTAATTAGAGATGGCAGAGGGGGAGTGCTGCTGAAATTATCAAGAAGATAACAAATGGACCAGAGAAAGAAGGATTTTTCAGTCTAGAAAAATGATGGTCTAGAGGAGACAGAATTGAAATTTATGTATTTATAAAAGGCATGGGGAGAGTAATATGAGTCATTTAATTAAATCCTGGGATAATAATATCTTACATGTTTACAGTTGCAGTTTTCGTAACACATTCATATAAATTATTCCATGTGATCTGCATAATGATGCTGTAAAGTAAGTACAAAGGCATCCAACCTCCTCGTTTTATAAAGAAACTGAAGTTCACAAAAGAGACACAAGTTCGCCAAGACTACACAATTACTAAGTGGTGGAGCTGGGATTTGAACTCAAACATGTTTGACTTCTGATTTAACACACTTTACTAGAGTATTGTAACCAGGGAGCAACTTTCTTGAAGCTTGAAAGAGCCAAACCTAATGACCACATAGGGTTGTTGTGCTTATCCCAGGTACACAATAAATGTTAATTTAAATATAAACCTGAATCTTGCCTAGACCAATCTCTCTCTCTCTCTCTCATACACACAACACACACAGCCAATAGACGAGATAGAACAGAACATTAAAATGTTTAATATTTCAAAATTATAATTTTCGATTAACCCCCAAAAAAGGCAGAAACAAAGAACATAGGTATAAATAGAAAACAAACAGCAAGGTGAAAGACTTAAACCTAACCATACTGATAATAATATTAAATTTAAATGGATTACATAGTCAAAGGCAAGGATTGTCAGACTGGATAAAAAATTAAGATCGAACTAAATGCTGTTTTCAAGATATGCACTTTAAATACACAGATAGTGGGTGAAGCGTGAAAAAAGACACAATGCAAACACTAAGCTGACAAAAGCTGGTGCGGTTATATTAATATCAGGTGAAGTAGACTTGATGACAGGACATACTACTGGAGATGCAGAGTATCATTTCATGATGATGAGTTGTTGTTAGGTGCCATCTAGTCGGTTTCAACTCATATTGACCCTATGCACAACAGAATGAAACACTGCCTGGTCCTGCACCATCCCCACAATCGTTGTTATGCTTAAGCTCATTGTTGCAGCCACTGTGTCAATCCATCTCATTGAGGGTCTTCCTCTTTTTCGCTGACTCTCTACTTTACCAAGAATGATGTCCTTCTCCAGGGACTGATCCCTCCTGATAACATGTCCAGAGTATGTGAGATGAAGTCTTGTTATCCTTGCTTCTAAGGAGCATTCTGGTTGTACTTCTTCCAAGACAGATTGGTTTGTTCTTCTGGCAGTCCATGGTATATTCAATATTCTTCACTAACACCATAATTCAAAGGCATCGATTCTTCTTCAGTCTTCCTTATTCATTGTCCAGCTTTTGCATGCATATGAGGTGATTGAAAACACCACAGTTTGCGTCAGGTGCACCTTAGTCTTCAAGGTGACATCTTTGCTTTTTAACACTTTAAGAGATCTTTTGCAGCAGATTATGTCATGATGATGAGAGGCTCAATTAATAAGAAAAATGTGACAATCCCAAATCTGTGCACTCTGAACAACAGAGCTTCAAAGTATATGAAAAAAAAAAAAAAACAGAACTAAAGACAGAAATAGACAAACCACAACTATGGAAGTTTTAACAACCCTTTCTCAGTAATTGATAGAACAAATAGACAAAAAGTCATTAGGATACAGAATATTGAACACCATCAACCAATTTGACCAAACAGATATTTATAGGTTACTATACCCAACATATCACATGACTCTGCTATCACACACCTAAGTATTTATCCTAGAGAAATGAAAACTCATGTTCACACAAAAACCCGTATATAAGTGTTCGTAGTAGCTTTATTTGTTGTACTCCAAAACTTGAAATTACCCAAATGTCCAACAACAAGTGAATGGATAGACAGATTTGTTATAATCCAAACAATGGAATACTACTCAGCAATAAAAAGGATCAGACTACTGATACAACAACATGATGAATCTAAAATATATTATGCTAAGTGAAAAAAGCAAGTTCAAAAGATTACATACTGTATGATTTCATTAATATGACAAGTAACTATAACATGAGTATTAATTAGCAAAAATTTTAATAAGGCCTATATATTAGATAATAGTATTGTATCAATGTTAATTTCCTTAGTTTGATCCTTGTATTGTGATTATGTAAGAGAATTACCTTGTTTTTTAGGAACTACATACAGGTATTTAGGAGTAAAGCGGTATAATAGCTTCAACATACAATTCAGAAAAAAAATCTATCGATCGACTGATCGATCAAAAGGTAGGTAGATAAAGAGAATGTTAACAAAAATATAATAAAATGGAGGGTGGGGAGGGAGGGTGAGGGTTATTTATTAACTAGATAGTAGATAAGAATTATCTTAGGTGAAGGGAAGGACAGCACACACTACGGGGGAAGTCAGCACAACTGGACTAAACCAAAGCTAAGAAGTTTCCTGAATACAGTCAAACACTTTGAGAGACAGAGTAGCAGGGGTAGGGGTCTGGGGACCATGCTTTCAGGGGACACCTAGGTCAACTGGCATAACAAAGCTTATTAAGAAAATGTTCTGCATCTTACTTTGGTGAGTGGCGTCTGGAGTCCTAAAAGCTTGCAAGCGGCCACCTAAGATGCATCAATCAGTCCCACCCACCTGGAGTAAAGGAAAATGAAGAACACCAAAGACACAAGGAAAGTATTAGCCCAAGAGACAGAAAGGGCCACACAAACCAGAGACTTCATCAGCCTGAGACCAGAAGAAACAGATGGTGCCCAGCTACCACCAATGACCACCCTGACAGGGAACACAACAGAGAATCCCAGATGGAGCAGGAGAAAGGTGGGGTGCAGAACTCAAATTCTAGTAAGAAGAGCAGATTTAATGGTCTGACTGAGACTGGAGGTACCCCGGAAAGCATGGCCCCTGGATTCTCTATCAGCCCAGAACTAAAACAATTTCTGAGGCCAACTCTTCAGACAGGGATTGGACTGGACTGTGGGACATAAAGTGATACTTGTGAGGAGTGTGCCTCTTAGCTCGAATAGATACAAGAGACTAAACGGGCAGCTTCTGTCTGGAGGTAAGATGGGAAGACAGAAAGGGTTAGGAGCTGGTTGAATGGACACAGGGAATCAGGGTGGAAAGGAGGAGTGTGCTGCCACAGTATGGGGAGAGCAATTAGGGTCACATAACAATGTTTATGTATAAAATTTTGTATGGGAAAAAGTAA